CAGCTGGAGGTGCTCATCAGAAACGTGAGGCCATACACTGCTTTGCATTGCTACGGCTTCCAGTGGAGCCAGCCCCGGATCCCATGGAGCCTGCTCTCTCTGCCTGGAAACCACCGGCTTGGGAAAAACAGTACCCTATGCTACACCTCCATCAGCAGACATGGTCACTGCACTCATGGAGCTCCAGAGAGTTCTATAGTCTACCATAAGCTTTTATGTAGTTTTCCTTCTGATTAAGTTAAATGTTTTTTTAAACAGCATTAACTAGGATAAATATTTCACTTCTGCTCATCAAAAGCAAAACAAGAAAATACAGGGGAGTATTATGTGAGAAACTACTAGGAGTCAAAGAGTGTAACAAAGAGGAAAAACAAGAGCAAGTTTATGGACCATAGCAATCAGGCAGCTGACACTGTTCTTCTATTAATGCATCCTATCAGCAGCTCTTTCCTTAACTTTTGTCTACTGGAAGAAATGACAAAGAGAATGGAAGACTTGGAGAACAGGCTAAAATACTGATCAAATTCAAAGTGTATACAACACTGTATATTTATACATACAAACTTGTCAGAGCTATTTTCTTAAACTGGTTCTAAGTAAAATAACAAATCCTTGTGTCTGAAGTTGAAAAGATTTTTGATCCCTGCATCTATGTACTATGTGTTCTGTCTTGCATTGATTGCAGATAAGAAGTGTTGAAAGTTTTATATATATAAACAATCTAGTAACTAGCAAAAGTTCTAATTAAGCAGAACTAAACTGAAATAAGCTATGCAAAATAATAAAATGCTGTTATTTTTTTGAAGTGAAACCTCCATGTTTTGACTTACTTTTAGAGAGCAAATTTATTTGGCTTGCTCTTCTCTATTTCCCTCCTCTGATAGTATTTTAAGCACCCTATCTGTGTGAATATATATAGTTCTATATATACATACATAAAACCAGAACAAGCGGGACAGCATTCACAGCAATTAGGTTTCACTTCTACTCTTCAAACAAGAGCAAACTACTGAAATCAGTTTGAAGTAAAAATACAAATTTATACATTTGTTGAAACCATGATGAAAGTAAATGTGTGAAGTGGGAAGTCTCCTGGATTATCAGGGTATCACCATGTACATCAAGTACTTCTTCTCTTACCACATCCAGACCAAGTAACTTCTCCCTACTGCGCATTGGCATTCAGCCATTCTCTAACTTTCCTGAATGCAAGTAGGATTTTAATTATGAGAACGTTCTTCAGGCAAATACCACTAGCTGCACACCTGTTTGTCAAACACCAAGACACAAATGAGAACAGCAAACTGCTTACAGTGGTTCTGGACAACTGAAGTGCCCAGAAGTTTTACTCCTTCCCCTTGGCAGCAACAGCATGCTTCTGCTAGCTTTACTTTCACACCATCTCTTGAACTGATCCAAATCTGTGGTTTAATAAGTAGGTTTTAACACCAGCACTTCCTCCTTTGCTTTGACACACATTGGTCTGCCTTTTTACTATCTCCAAATGGAAATACACAGCTTCAGCCACTGTATGTAAATGCAGCAGTTGCAGCAAAACTCGACCCAGGTGTTCTCAGGTAAGCCATTAAGTGTGCATGGATATATAACAGCAGGCTTTAAAAGGCACCCCGGGCTCTGGCACACTTTGACAAACACAGTGCAAGTTCTGCAAGGATACTGGTACATCCCGGTTTCCATGAGGTGTTTCTTTTATCGCATGTCAGCAAAGCACTGGCACCTCAATAATCACTCGTAATAAGGAATATCCTGCAGTCATGGTCTTGCACAAACAGATCTGTAAGACACCAATTCCCTCAGCAATAGTGACTTGAGAGCACCAACTCATCTCTCTCCAATAACATATTCAAAAAGCTAAAGGGACTAATTTAAAATCAGCTTTGAGAAGTTAATTAGTATCTCATTGAAAGTATGATGTTATACATCATGTCTAGCAGCTGTCCTATTTGCCCTATGACAGATATATTCTCTTCAAAGGAAAAGACAAAGGGGATATTTTGCATTGGTGCTTTGCAACTGACTTGGTAAAAATTGTGTGAACTTTTTTTAGTGTAAGTAAACCCTTTGGAATCCCCCACCAACATCCCAAATTTGCTATGGTACCTCACATTACACCTTGTTCTTGCATTAGCACTCCAAAAAACAAAAACTAAGGAAACGCTAGCCTGTTAGGATTTGGCACCATACTTGCCATGATCTTCCTCCACTTACCTCTCAAGATCCACAGGTTTTAGAAAAAGCAACAGGCAAGTTTTGTCCTGTGAAGGTTATTTCTAACAAAACAGGAAACACAGCAGTAGTAATGAATCTTCATTTATATAGTCTGTTCCCTAAAACCAGCAAAAGTATAATACAAATTTTTCTTAAAACAGATCTGTAACCAGTTTTATTGTAGAAATAACACCTTTACAGCATTTACTTCTCGCTGGTTTGTTCTGGCATGCTTCTGATGATGTCAGAGTCACCTGTAAAACAAAGACATATTGTTACAAAAGAAAGCTCAGTTTTCAGAAGTAAGCCAAAGAGAAAAAAAACCAACACACGGATTCTACAAATAGAAAACAACTTAAAAACAATACAAAGATAGGCCATTTAGGAAAAAAGCAAGTGATTTTGATGTCTTGATAAAATACTTGTAACTGTATTTTGCTAATCCATACACAGTATTTTTACAATAATCATGTACCTGTCACTAGCATTCACAAAGCCAGTACTAGAGCAACAATCTAGTCCTGGAGGACACAATGCATAGCTTTAATATAGCGAATGTCTAGCCTCCCCTGATCACAAAAATATCAGGACAGCGAGAATATTCGCATTACAATTTACTTGCAATTCCTTCCCCACCCAAAATAAAAACAGTAACATTTTGAAAATTAACTTTACAGCTAGTATTTTAATACAAGCAAGCTAAATAAAGTTTTCTGAAGAAACAGTGAACTGATGTCACTTGAGGAACATCTGGGGAAAGTTGCTACAGAAATCATTAAATCCATGTGTATGAATTTCGGTCAACAAACAGAACAAAACATTCATTCTTCTCTTAGAAGATTCTGGAAAAAGCATGAGAAGTCACCTCATTAATTAGTTAGTAGTCTGTTGGCTTGCTTTTCTGTATTTCCCTTCTCCACTCCCTTTGCTAGTATTTTCAGCACCCTGTCATCAATTAGCAGCCTAGATGAGGAACTTGTGCAACTCTCTGGGACAAAGTGCTACCAAACCATAGTAATTACACACAGACTTGCCGTTGTATTTTAAAACATTTAATATAGTTTTCAACCCTGCATTAGTATCCACCTGTATATATCATTCTGGAAAGCAGGACAACTCACAATCCTTTGTCTTAGATGAAGAACAGTCCAACAAAGTTGATGTAAACAGCATGTTGCACAAGCTCATATTCTAGCTGATGGGCTTTGAAACCTGTACCCTGAAGTTGCTTCCCCACCGCTGAAACCTAATTACAGACCGACAAGTAGACAAAACACACATCCTCACAGGGTTTAGCAGTAAAGGAGCTATGTGCAAGTGAAAGCAGCAGTGATTCCAGGTTCTACGAACCTACAACTCACAGAAGATCTTGGTCAGAGGAAATTATAATTAAACCTGACAGGGAAGGACAGCAAAGTGTGTTATCACCCCTGCACACTGGTTACTTGCTCAGTGCTTCTACTCATAGGTGAGCGGAGGAACCACTGACACATACCCATCTGGTCACTATATGGTAAGAGACATACCTGGGTCAATGATAGCCAGCGTGCACACTCTGTAGTATTTGCCACATGCTGTGCCCAATTCAATGTTGTTGCCGCTATAATGATGGACGCCAGTCTTGGCAAGCATAGCGTAGTACTCAATCTCAGATTTTCTGAAATTCAAAAACTGGGTGTTACAGTACTGACACACAATTCTGACTGACTGGAACAGAGAACAACACTGGCACAGGCTGCCCAGAGAAGCTGTGGATGCCCCATCCCTGGAGGGGTTCAAGGCCAGGCTGGATGAGGCTTTGAGCAACCTGGGCTAGTGGAGGGTGTCCCTGCCCATGGCAGGGGGATTGGAACTAGATGATCTTTAAGGTCCCTTCCAAACCAAACCATTCCCTTACTGTAATATAGCAAAAACAGCTTTAACTCCAATCACATTTAAACCTTACACAGTTTTCCTTCCGACACAGAAAAACACATCTGCTCGTTGCCAGACTAACATCACTACTGTGTTGTGGGTCAGGAACCCCTTATCCAGAAGTATGCTGAAGGTATGTAATGGCTAACTCACTCTTGGAGTGCAAATCCTTGAGGTTGCTCCTACACATGCTCATTTCTACAGGAAAGAAGGAGATTCAGGACTTCCAGACTTCCAAAAGGTTGTAAGAGCTAAGCTAAAGTGCGTAAGTGACCATTATTAATGCTGACACCCAGGTGCCAGATGCTAAACAGAGATCCGGCTGCCACTAGCTGTGAAAGAAACTGTGTATTTTTCTTTAAAAAAAAAAGTCCATTTATATTCCCCTCTCTTCTGACTGCCACCAGGAAATTCTAGTGGTCAATACAGTTCCTCAAGCACTTTTGGGATCCCAGCTAACATGCTGCCTCTGCTAATAGTCCTGCCATTTCTCAAGCATCTCATTTTGGCTTTCTCTATTTACAGTTTCTTGAATCCGTCAATATTCCTTGATGACAAAAAGGGCCTAGAAATTCAACAAGGAAAGTGTCACGAAGTTAGTAAAAATTTCATTCTCAAAAAAACAATTTCACTGGCAAAGAACCCAAATTTTTACCTTCCTTGGACAGCACATTTTGTGTGCTTCAAATACTTTAAATTGTTGTCAATTACCAGTTTTCCTACCTGTAAAATTATTTTCCAATACACTAAGAAAAAACACAGGAATTCAGCCCCATTATACTTTTAATTAATACTATCACAGTGTGAAAAGCTTCCAGTACCTTTGCTAGTGCAAACTCTTTAAATTAGAAGGCTAGAAAAATGTTGGGAAGAATTTCAGCACATCCAGACCTGAAATCATTATACACCAAACCACCCATCGCTTTTAACACTCTGGAATATGCCACCAAAGTATTCTGCATCAATAACTGACTGTCACAATTAACAGGAAGTACACACTGTATTCATATAAAGAACGTGTCCTAATTAAAGAGAATTGTTTTTTCATACATCTGCTTACCTCAAAGCAGGACAGTTGTTGGCTAGGATGACCAACTTGGCTTTGCCCTGCCGAATCATTTTAAGAGTCTGTTTGTATCCTAGCACATATTTACCACTTTTCATAACCAGCTGAAGCCTGGAGTTTATGGACTCTAGGGACTTTTTCTGAAAAAGGCATAGAAACGCATTATTGTATGTTACTTCACATTTTGCAAAATGGCAGAGAACACAAAAAAATGAAGACATTCCAAAAACAAGCAATCTTTTAATAATTTTGCTATAACTTGCAATGTGGAATAAAAAAGCCAGCCTACCATATAAATATGAGAAAGTCTGTGGATAAGGGGGTTGCTGAATACTATGTTTTCCAAGTTTCATAAAAATATATCTTACCACATATCTTCCAACAGGAAAATACATCTTAAAGCATTGTTAAATGCTATCTACATTAATCAGAAACATCCGGGTGTATCTGACAGGCCTTTATCAAAGCTCAACTAGTCAGGTCCAAGTAAATCCTACTTCTGCCTTGCAAATCTAAGCCAGGTTTGTAGTATGTCTCTTTCCGGGGCACACGCTAATAGCGTTTAATATTAGTTACCAGAAACAAGTGATCACACGCAGTAT